TGTTTTGTAAATAAATTAATTTGTATCTTTTTTTTTTAGATTCTAAGTATAAGTGATATCATGTTACTTGTTTTTATCTGTCTGACTTGCTTCACTTACTAAGGCTGTCCATGTTGCTGCAAATGACATTGTTTCATTCTTTTTATGACTGAGTAACATTCCTTGTATATATTTACCACATCTTCTTTATCCATTCAAAAACATTCCATTGTATATATTTACCATCTCTTCTTTATCCATTCTTTATCCTTTCATCTGTCGATGGACATTTATACAGTAGCATCAGTTTTTATTTTAAGCATTTTACATGCCAGGCACTGTTACTCTCACTTTCTTTTTCTACGACAACCCTGAGAAGCAGGAACAGTTAATATCTTCATTTTATAGTTGAGGAATAGCCCATAAGAGAGGTTAAGTAACCTGTTGGTGATCATCCAGCTTGTGAAGGGCAGAACTCAGATTAGACCTAAGCAGGCTGACTTTTGAGCGTGGCCTCGTACTCCTGAGCTTTTCCTCCCTCCCAGACAGCCTCCACCCACAAGTAGACGCTCTGCTTCTCTTCTGTCTCTCCTCTTGACCTTTGCCATTTGTGAACCCTCGAGTGTCTAGAAAATAATCTAAACACTAGTCTTCCCATTTATCCAAAGAGGTTTAACCCCAGAGGCTTGATCTACACTTTGTATTTTACATATGAGGTGGTTGGGGTTTGGAGAGAGCTCTTATCTTGACCCAAGTTGCCTAGCTGGTAAGTGATGACACAATATCTGCCTCTACATGATTCCTGAGTCCACGTTCTTTCCATAACACTTAGTACTCCCAATTGTCGCATAGCTTAGGGAAGATCTAAAATGAGACAGGTCTGGGGAGGGAGTTCCCTGGTGGTTTAGTGGGAACATTTAGTGGTTGGGATTTCACTGCCATGACCTGGGTTCAATCCCTGGTCAGGGAACTAAGATCCTGCAAGCCATGCAGCATGGCCAAAAAATAAAGTGAGACACATTTTAGTCCTAGACCACCGTGTATCCTTAGGAAGATCCCTCTCTGTTGCTTTGTTTTATCTGTCTGTAAAATGATGGTTCTGCACCAGTATAGCTGAGAGGTGCCAAGAAAAATAAGCCTATAAACCTGATGCAATTGTTGAGGATGGAGGGTGGAGTGGATGTGTGGATGTTACTCTCACTTTCTGGATGTGTGGTCTCCATGGTGTGACTGTGCTCCTTGATGCCCCAGGACGAACTACAGCTCACCAGACAAGCTCTGGAGAAGGAGCGACTCCACAGCCTGGGCCCGACCAGCCAATCAGAACAGGGGCCTGGAGGAGAGCCCTGCGTCCGGCTGGGAGAGGTGAGCTGGGGGCCTGCTGAAAACGGATGGCCCAGGAGGGAGTGCCTGTCTAGGGGCTTGTCCCCTTCCCCTGAGAACTGGGTCCCTGAAGCGCACACCTGCCTGGTTCATCCTTTGCCCTCTGTCTAGCTCCCCTGCCTTCCCCCATCTCAGGGGCTGCCCCGGTGAGCTTGACAGGTCTCTCTCCCTCAGGTCTCGGAGGTGAAGACGGAGCCAAGTCCTGAGGCGGAGGAGAAGCAGCGCTGGGAGCAGAGGCTTGAACACCTGCAGCAAGCAGTGGCGCAGCTGGAGGTTGACCGAAGCCGGCTGCAGCACCACAACGCCCAGCTGCGGACCACCCTGGAGCAGGTGGGTGACTCGGGTCCTCAGCTCCCGCCCCGTCCGAAGAAAGGCGCACATCACTTCTGCAGCCCCCAGAGCTGGGGAGGGGGGGTGAGGGGGGGTTCGGAAACGATAGCCCAGGACCAGTTTTGGCCTGCTCTCCATTTCTGAAAATAAAGTTAAGTGGGGATGCACCAGTGTTTGTGACAAAGATCGAATGGCCCACAGTGCCTGAAGTTCTACAGAAAAGACTTGCTGGCCCTGCTTAGAAGCCCGGGAGGCTGGCCCCACGTCCTCTGTCGCAGCAGCACTGTGCGCTCAGGGCTGTCCCAGCACGGGCTCTCCTCAGCGCAGTCCAGCTTCTCATGACCCTTTGTGTTCACACCACACCCCTCACACCAGCCTGCTCCCCAAAAAGGCAGCTCAGCTGCAGCCCAGAGCCAAGCCCAAGCCCTGATCTCTCACTCACACCCAATCTCGGCAGGTGGAGCGAGAGCGCAGGAGACTGAAGAAGGAGTCCATGCGCACGTCCAGGACAGGGGTCCTCGAGAGCAGTGGAGCCACAACACCATCCCCCACACCCCAGGTTTGTCCATTTTCATTGACTGCAGCCTCCGGAGAGCCCAAGCCCAGCCACCGAAACAGTCCTCTGCAATGCGTATCCAAGGCGAGAGGCCGATTCAGCCAGTCTAGAGGGCCCCTCCTGACCGGGCTCTGCCCCGCCCAGCACTGTCTCTGACCCTGGAAGGAAGCCCAACATCAGTGAATGGGGTTTGAATCAAGGCTGGCAGCCATGCCTTCTGAGCAGCCTTCGCTGATGGTCAGTCCACCTGCCCCCAGACCAGTGCTTCAGGCTCCTAAGAGCAGAGCTCACGGCTTCTGATTTCTCCCAGTGTGTTGGGTGGTGCTTGCCATACCCCGATGTACCTAGGGGCTCAATAGCAGCTCTCTGGACCTCTTAGACTTGCTTGATCTTTGTGATACTGAATTGACAAGATATGGGTCCAAGGTGTTTCCTGATGTTCATCAGTCACTAAGTCGTATCCGACTCTTTGCAACCCCATGGACTGCAGCACACCAGGCTTCCCCATTGGGTCAGTGATGCCATCCAACCGTCTCATCTTCAGTTACCCCCTTCTCCTCCTGCTCTCAATCTTTTCTGTGGCCAGAAGGATTTAGGGGAAGATACCGCAAACCACTCTTTCAACTGAGTTATGCCCGTCAGTCGACAGTCCTGGAGCCTGGCAGGCAGGGACCGTCTTTGGTGGCTGAGCACCTCCCAGCCTTCCATCCCCCTTCCTTTAAGGAGAGCTTCTCAAGGGCAGGGCCCTTGTCTCACTTCCCCTCTGCATCCTTCGCTTGCTTCCTGGGGCCAGCACGAGGGAGATGTCTGGTGTACTTTAAGTGAGGAGGTGCCTCAAAGAAGCCAGTGCCATCCAAACCTCTGGGACATTTGGCATCAGGTCTCCACGGGCATTGCCCATTGGTTGGGTTTAGACCCTCTGAGGCCTCTCCTGCCCCTGGGCCCTGGTGCCCCAGGATTGTGGGAGGCCTGCACAAACCCCGATGGAAGGCCTATTCCCCTGGAACAATATTTGTCTCCCCCAGGATGGAAGAGGAGGACAGAAGGGCTCCTCGGATGCCACATACGTGGCTGAGCTGCAGAAAGAGGTACGTTCCAGAATATTCCATCTTCTAAGGCTCTTAGTTCGGACAGCAAGGCTTTGGTGTCTGCTATGTGCTTGGTCCCTTGTGCACGTCTGGCAGGGAGAGGGAAGATAGTTCAGGCCTCAAAGAACTGCAGACCCCATGGGAGGAGAGCAAAGCCCAGTTCCAGCTCCACCTACTGCCCTGAGTGCACTTAACCTCTCCTACGCTTAGGGTGGGAGCGGTGAAGAAAGTAGGCTGCAGGCCCCAGACCTCCTACCGACAAAGGGAAGGGAAGAAGGCTGACTCTAAGAGGCCAGCCTGAACCAAGCAGAAGCACCCGGGCCTCCTCTGCCCTCACACACACCCTTGCAGGCAGGACTGTCACCCACACCAGGCAGAGCAGCCTGGCACGAGCGCCAGGATCCACACCCCAGAGCTCAGGTCATGCTCCGGGAACCTGTGCCTTCTTGCCTCTGAGGCCTCACCTGAAGGTTCACCCTGTCTTTTAAAGCCCAGGAGTAATTAAAACTAGGAAATCCTGATTTCAGAACCTGTACCAGAAATCAGTAGTCACTACTGGAAGAGCCTGACTATGCAGCTAGACCTCAAGCTCTCACTTTAAGTTCTGTTAGTCATATAAAGTGATTGCTGAGACAGGCCCAGACTAGGGTGAGGCAGGGCAGGCCTCACTGTGGACCTGGAGCACCTCCTGAAGTTTTGCACCCGATGAGGAGCCTTTTTTGCCCCACCCTCATCCTGAATGAGCCCTGAGCTCCCAATAACTCCACCTCAGTGTACCCATCTGAGAAATGCATTGATGAATGATTCTCAACCCTTACTACACATTAGAATCATCTGGGGAGCTTTGAAAAAAATACCGATGCTCAGACCTCACCTTTTCTAGTTAGGTCAGAATGTTTCTTAAAATCTCCCAAAGGGGCATGATGGTGCTTTCTATAGCAATTAAAGCATTCTGTATCTTGATTGAGAATAGTGGTTATACATGGGTATGTATGTTAGGAAATATGTTAAAATGTACTTAAAATCTGGGCATTTTATTACATGTAAACACATGAATAATTTTGTTTTTTTTCAAGCTCCCTCTTTGAGCCTCCTACACAGCCAGGGTTGACAATCACTGGATTCTCTGATTCCCAGCAGCCCTTCCCCCAAACACTGTAAAGCCTAATCCTGAGGTTCATGGGCATGGGGTTGATTCAAGCTGGTCTGACAAGAGCCACAGGAGCCGAGCAAGGGGTGGGGTGCAGCTTCAGGGCCCTCCATGGCTCTTGCCCTCTTGGTTTTCCTGCCCCCCAGGTGGCCCTCCTGCGAGCCCAGCTGGCCTTGGAGCGGAAGCAGAAGCAGGACTACATCGCACGCTCCGTGCAGACAAGCCGTGAGCTGGCGGGCCTGCACCACAGCCTCTCTCACTCCCTCCTGGCCGTGGCCCAGGCCCCTGAGGCCACCGTCCTGGAGGCCGAGACCCGCAAGCTGGATGAGTCCCTGACTCAAAGCCTGACATCCCCCGGACCCGTCCTACTGTGCCCCAGCCCCAGCCCTGCTCAAGGCGCCTCCAGGTAGCAACCACAGCCTGGGCAGGACACGAGCCAGCCTGGGAGCGCGCAGACAGACAAGATGGCGGTGGAGTGGGTTGTGGCCCCTCCACACAGTTGCAGTTGGCCAGAATGAGTTCTGGCTCTGTGACCCAACCTGGGAGCCCCAGGTCAGCAGACATTCCCAGGAAGAGGGAAGGAAACCCACAAGGCTGGGGGCAGGCCCTGACTCACGGGAATGAGGACACAACACTTGTTGCCAACCTGCAGTCACCCCGAGAGTGCCTTGCCCTGGCCAAGTGGGTGTCTGCGGCCTCTCACAAGAACTCATTATCCAGCCCCTCACCCTCTGTCACCTCCCCCTTCAGTAATAAACCCTGGGTCTTGGCATTTGTTCTCTGCTGCTGTCTTTACAGTATAGCTGGGCAACAGCAGTACATCAGGAGCATCTATTAAAGAAGACTTCACTAAAGATTCCTGTCAGGCTGCATGAATTTGTCATCTGCCTGCATCCTGACAGAGAAGGGCTGCAGAAGGCACACAAGACAGAGCCCCTGTCCCCAGGAAGCTTGAGCCCAGTTGACAAGACCAGGCAGACGCCCATCCCTGAGTCAGAGACAGTTCTTCTGTCTGCTGCCTAGAAGTGCTGTAGAAATGCCCGGGCCTGAGGCAGGCATGAACTGGCCCTCGAAGGCTGGAGAGGACTCGGGAGGGTGGCCAAGTGTTCTGGTGAGAAGACTGGTCTGCCCTGTGGGATGGGCAGCGAGGGAGATGAGGGATGGCCTTGGGGATCTAGATTCGAACTCAGGGGTAATGAGGAACCGTCATATGTTCTTGACTTAAAACTTGTTCTGGGCTTCAGAAACACTGAATGGGCTTTTGGCTAAAGTCAGTCTCACGTTCAGAAATTCTCTCTGGCCTCATTCCCCTTCTATGCTGGGTGAGTGTCGTCAGGGTGTTCCTTTCCGGGCATATCAGATGCAGCTGACTCTGGTCCTCTGTAGTCCAGCCATGGGTCAAACCGGGAAGGAGGATGGACAATGGCAGGACTCATCACTTGCAGCCTGACCTTGGTGGAGGCGGTGCGTAGGCTTAAGGCCTAATGTTGGCGGCTTCATCAAAGCCTAAGAGAGAACAGTTTTCTTCAAAGAAGCAGGCATGATCTTCCTCTGGCCCTCCAACTGTAGTCTGGGGTTCCTCTTCTAAGCCTGGGAATGGAGCTAAGGCCGGCTAAGAATGGGGAGGTTTGCAATCAGCACCACAGTACCCCAGACCTATTTACCCAAGGCTTAGGCCCCATTACATCCCATCGCACCACACAGAGTGGGAAGGAGGATGTTTGCCACTGCTGGAGCTTGGTTTCAAAGCCCATGCATGGGACTCAGCACAGAGGCTTAGTAAAAAGTTACAGTTTAACTACCCTCTGCAGAACTAAATCTGGAGCCCCAAGATTCCGGCTGGTCCCCACCTCTAGTCAGATTCCCTGAGGCTCAGGATCCTTACCTGGCCTTTTCTGCACTCAGAGTTCTCAGGGACAAGCACGATTTCTCTAGGTTCCTTAACTTTTTTTGGTCCCCAACTCTGGTTCTCTCGCTTAGAGGCTGACAGAGGGACCCTGTTGTCCACCTTGTAGTTTCTTCTCAGTTCCAGTATCTGTAGGTCGTAAGCCAAGGCCTTAAGCCCCACACGCCTTCTGGGACCAGGAAGAGAGTTTCCCGCAGATGAAAGGCATTTTAGAGGCAGCCAAGCTGAGTCTTCATCCAGTAAATAGCTCATCTATACCTGCTCCTGCCTCCCCACCCAATCCTCAATAGCCCCTCACCCCACTCTGGATGTCAGACCTAGGGCTCCCCTCCCCAGCAGATAGTCCATCAGCTTTAGTCCTCTGTTCAGTTGTTAACTGTCATCTTGCTTTCCCCTTCTTAGCTTGTGTATGCTCTTCTGCTCCAACTTCCTAGAATACATTTTTCTTTTTAATATCTATTTATTTGACTGTGTTGGGTCTTAGTTGCAACACATGGGGTTTTCCTCTCTAGTTGTATCTCCAGAGCTCAAGCTCAGTAGTTGTAGAGTATGGGCTTAGTTGCCCCATGGCATGTGGGATCTTGATTTCCCCTAGAGATCAAACCTGCGTCCCCTGCTCTGGAAGGTGGATTCTTTACCACTGGAACACTGGGGAAGTCCCTAAAATACACTTTGTTTAACCAACAGTAGGATCATCTGTTTGGAGAGTACTACCAGTCATGGAGCCAATTGCTCTTCTCATCAGCTCCAAACCCAGAGAGCCGAATTGGAGAAGCATGGAGGAAAGAGTATGGGTCTTTGGGGCAGCACCCTACCTTGCTCCAGGGCATCAGGCCAGAGGTCCCTTTCTCTTCTTGTCACATGCAACAGGGCATAACCAGCGCAGTGAATCCGATGGATGGGAATTCACTGTCCGATCATCCAGCTGGATCTCATGGGTGCACTTGAGGATGGTGTGATTGATCTCCAGAACCTAGGGGAATGGAGATCAGAGCTGAGCATGTGGGTCTTCTCCATCCACAAATCCCCACCCTCCATCCCGCCTTCTCCTTCTGTGCTTTGATAGCAGCTGCTCGAGGCCCCACAGTCCCGAGAGCAGAGAGCACGAGAGCTGAGTCAGAGTCTGGGCAATGTTCTTGTTTGCAAGGAGTGCTGCGTCTGGTGAGTGTGGCACCCTATTCTCTCAAGGCGCTTCATGCTTTGCACGTAAGAGCGACAGTCACCATATTGCAACCTAATTACCTTTGCTCATCTGCTTCCCCATGTGGGACCAGCAGCAACTTAAAGGCTGAAAAAGCTGCCTGGCATGAAGTAGAGAAGGGAAAGCTGGTAGTATACATTGAAGGTGAAGACAGTGGGGAGAGTCCGATCAGACTACAGAGTGAGGACAAGATCAACATTTACACCTAAAGGCTGAGGGCTGTCTGCTCCAACTCTGGGTCTCCAGCCGAGGAAAGGTGCCCTTTCATCTTGGCTCATGCCCACTGCAGCCCACACTAGCTCCGGAGGCTTCGGCACCAGGAGAACATGGGCATTCCTCCAGGTCGAGGGCATTCTCAGGTGTGGTATGTGCAGGGAGGTTCCATTACCCATGCTGTTCTCAGAGCCTAGACATGCAACCTGGTTCATTCTGCAGAGATAGGAAAGGATAATGTCAGGGAGGTGCTGGGGCTCACCCTCCCCCCTGCTCTCCCAGAGTGCAATGCAGTGCTCATCAATGGTTATCCCATATTCCCCACCGTACAGCCCAGGACAGGCATGAACAGGACTCGGTATGGCTGTGACCTGTGTATCAGCTGGAATAGTTTCTCCTTGGCCGGCTGGACTTGGGTTAGGTTTCCTAGCATTGATACCCATGGAGAAGAGACAGACCACTCACCACTTCACTGCTGTGTGCCAACACAGAGAGGAGGCTGGGCCCTGCTGGTGTAAAGAAAGGGGCCCAGGAGAGGATGCAGCCCAGAGCCTGGGCCTTCTGGAGATGGGGTGGTCTCTGATTCCATCAGGAGTTTCAGGGCCTATGTGAAGTGTGAGGCAAATCAGGCAGACACCCTGTTAGTGAAGGCAGGCTATGCAGACACTCTGGGGCCAGCAGCTGAACTCCTAGAAGTATCTGTGGAAGTGGGAGAACCTCACCCACAAAAGCAGCAAGGCAAACTCCAGCCGAAGACTGCATCAGGCCTCATTCCTGGTGGCTCAGGCAGTAAAGAATCTGCTTGCAATGCAGGAGCCCCGGGTTCAGTCCCTGGGTCAGGAAGATCCCCTGGAAAAGGACCTGGCAACCCACTCTAGTATTCTTGCCTGGAGAATCCCCTTGGACAGAGGAGCCTGGCAGGCTAGTCTGTGGGGTCACAAAGAGTCCGACGTGACTGAGCAGCTAACGGTTTTTCACTTTCATCTCAGCTCATGGAACCGGACCCTAGGGCAGCTAGTTGGTTTAGTTGTTTGATCTTAGGACACATGAGGCCTCTAGCTGTTCCCCCCAACACCTCACCTCCTACTTCCTGTCCCACTGACCACCTACCCACTCCCAGGGCTGAGGAAGGGACTCCCTGAGCAACATGGAAATGCTGAGTCCTGAAGAGCCTGGGGGATGGTGAGCAGAGGCAGGGAGGAGGAAGGAGCAAGGGCCATTGGGGTTCTCTGAGCCATGAGATCCCTCCCACCTCCCCTCGATCCTGGGGTGCAGGCTTAGCTCTGCTCACCATGCTGAGAAAGCAGGCGAGGGAGAAGGAAAGACAAGAACAAGGGGTCTCAAGACCCTGGCCCCCTGCAGTTTACTCCCCTATGCTCCTGGGACTAGAGGGGTGTGCCTAGACCCTGACAGAGGTGATGGCGAGCAGTGAGGCTTTTCCAGGTAAAAAAGGACTGTGTTCTCTGGCCCCTCTCAGAGTCTCACCTGACACAGTGGCAGCCCGGCATGGACTGGACATTATGACCTTTTTTTTTTTTTTTTTTGCCCCAAGGCACATGGGGTCCTAGCTTCTCGACCAGGGATCAAACCCACACCTCTGCATTGGGGCTTCAAACCCACAGCCCCTGCACTGGAAAGCGAAGTCTTAACCACTGGACCCCCAGGGAAGCCCTATGACCTCTTTCTTCTTAGTTCTTTGTCATTAACATCCCCAGCTCTTTATATGCCTTCATAGCACCTAAAGCTTGATACAAGTGGAAGAACTTGGAAGCAAAGAGTTGACCCCCTTGAATGGATCAAATGTCAGAGGAGAGATATGAGTGAAGGCAGTCATGTGTCCATCTGAGTGTGGGCACTCCCTGTTCCCAGCTAGTGGTCATTTGTGTGGAGGCAGGAGAGGGTAAGAATGTGTATTTAAATTTAGTTCTTCCTTAGTTATTTACTGCTACTAGTTGGGGTGCAGGAGTCAGGGGAAGCTCTTATTCAGGGCTTGATAACCCATACATTGTTCCTGCACCCCCTGTCTTGGTTCCCTGTCATTCCCTCTCCTGTATCTTCATATTCCAATCCAACCAAGAGTCTGAGGCTGGTTGCTGGCTAACAGTCGTCTCATACACGAGCTGGTGGAGTTTCTCGCCTTCTGCTGTTGTATGGTGCTTTGCAAGCCATGCAGGAGTCTTCGGCTCTAGCTCTCCTCCCTGTATACGGGGCCACCTCTTCAGCTAGTCTGCCCAAGCCTACACGGGAAAATCCAATGGATGAGATCAGACAGGCTGGTTGATTCCCCCCTGCTCCTAATCCAACTTTTCATGCATTTGGCAAATACTCATCAACACTGTGTGTCACAGAACTTCACAACACACACTGGAAGGAGGAGCTCACCTCCAGGGCCTGGAGGCAGAGAAACAGCAGACCTGGGTGCCAGGAGGAGACTCACTGGTCAGGAAGAGCATCACAGCACATGCTGGAGGAAGAGAGGGCTTCAGGACCCTTTCAAAGTGTTTGCCAAGCCAGTTGGGTACACCGGGTGTGTGGCGTCAAGGGCTGCACCTGTGGGTCCCGGGAGCAGTGGCCGCTCTGGGAGTTGCACCAGCCAGCCCGTCAGGTGAGACTTTTCTGCCCAAAAAGCAGAAGCACCGGACACGTGAGCATCAAGGCAGCACACTAGCCTAGAGCCCATCATGAGCGCTTCATTCCTATCCATGGGGCAGCTCACAGACAAAGAGGCAGGCTGACTCAGACTGCAGGCACTGGAAAAGGAGGAAGCTGTGGTCACAGACTCCACCAGTATCCACTGCCCCATGGCCTCCATCATTTCCTCAACCCTGCTCGCCACAACTTATAACACGTCACCTCTTACCGCCCCAGCCACCTGCTGAGCCCTGCAGGGTACTCTGCTGGAGGCTGAGAGGAGGGAGGGGAGAGGTGCTTTTGGTGTATCCTGTGACCTCCCCAGAGGAGAAGGGGTTGTTGCCCAGCGGGATCCTTCATGCCAGCCCAGTAGTATCAGGGACCCCACCACACAGGTCATACTGTGAACTTTTGCATGTAGGCTTTGTGGGTAAGATTGCCTTTACCTTGGCATTCAGCCCAGGGTCCAGCTGACGAGGGAGGGCATGGAAATCAAGTAGTGGGCGCAGGAATGAAAAAGGCAAGAAAGGCTGGTGTGGTGCCTCTCTGAGGGGGTGCTGGCTACTCCCAAAGTGAACTTGTTAAGTATGAGGCAGAGAGGGGAAAGAAGGGCCTTTGTTCCCTCTTGAGCAAAGAACCTACAAGAAAATGTCATGTGGTTAAAGTAAACTTATATCCAAACAAATTTTGTGGGTGGGGGTAGTTTGCTTTTACTTTTTTATGTCATGAGCTTTGTGGAATCTTAGTTCCTTGATCGGGAATTGAACCCAGGGCTGCAGCAGTAAAATCGCGGTGTCCTAACCCTATAGTGAAGTCGCTGAGTCATGTTCGACTCTGTGACCGTTTGGACTATAGACTGCCTGACTCCTCCGTCCATGGGATTTTTCCAGGCAAGAATACTGGAGTGGGTTGCCATTTCCTTCTCCAGGGGATCTTCCTGACACAGGGATCAAACTCAGGTCTCATGCATTGCAGGCAGACTCTTTACCATCTGAGCCACCAGGGAATCCCTTGTCCCAGGGAATACCCTTGATTTCATTTATTTCCAAGAAAACAACTGCACACACATGGTTGAAAATTAAATAGAAAAGAAGGCAGCAGTTTCCCGCTCCATTCTTTTCTAACCACTTTCCAGAGGGGCAACCAGTTTTTTAAAGTCTGCTTTCATAATGGATAACTTTATTCCTCTAAATGATAATTATACGATGCCATATGGGTCCAGTTATCTGCAACAAGATGGTGACAAGTGCACTGCCCACACCTTTGGGGATTCTTGAACTCTAGGTCTGAGCCAGACACCGAGCACACTTCTGTGCCCTTAGGGAAGCAGGTAAATAGGCTCTCAGCTGTACCAGGGATGTTTTCATTTTGTCAGGTTATGTGCGGTTGTTGGACGGCCAAAGTAAAAATGGAGTGGATGTGTTTTGGATACCCAGTGACTGAAAACCCTCATTACCTGAGGTTCTTGGCTCACCTTGAATACTGTTTCTACCAAAAAGGCAAGATAAATGCTTCTCTCCCACTTCCATTTAATATAATAGTTTCCTCTGATTGTTTTGATTTCTCTTTGAGTATCAATATGGACTCAAGGATTTTTATATATCCACTGTGACTCATTTGTGACAGTTGCTATTTTTGATGCTCAAATTATCTCATATTTGATGTGCAGGTTTTCTTTGTACTTTTCTTGTCCAGGCCTGAAACTTTTAGAAAGATTAGTGGGAAAAAGTATTTAGAAAATGAAATACACATTCCAGGGTTGATCATTGTCTCTGGAATGTTAGGGTGACTTTTGGACTTACAGACAACGTATTTTGAAAATTGTGAGTTTGAGATGGGAGTGGTTGCACACAATGTGAATATACTTAATGCCACTGAACTGTATACCTTCAAATGACAATTTTTATGTATATTTTACCACAAAACATAACAGAAAATTGAGCTCATAGTGATATTTCCTGTTTGAATTTATAATGTCCCAGGAGTTTTACTCTCCCTGTCTGATTTTGTATTTAGTTCCTAATAATAGATGGGGAAACAGTGAAAACAGTGTCAGACTTTATTTTTGGGGGCTCCAAAATCACTGCAGATGGTGATTGCAGCCATGAAATTAAAAGATGCTTACTCCTTGGAAGGAAAGCTATGACCAACCTAGATAGCATATTAAAAAGCAGAGACATTACTTTGCAAACAAAGGTCTGTCTAGTCAAGGCTATGGTTTTTCCAGTGGTCATGTATGGATGTGAGAGTTGGACTATAAAGAAAGCTGAGCGCCTAAGAATTGATGCTTTTGAACTGTGGTGTTGGAGAAGACTCTTGAGAGTCCCTTGAACTGCAAGGAGATCCAACTAGTCCATCCTAAAGGAGATCAGTCCTGGGTGTTCACTGGAAGGACTGATGCTGAAGCTGAAACTCCAATACTCTGGCCACCTCATGCGAAGAGTTGACTCATTGGAAAAGACCCTGATGCTGGAAGGGATTGGGGGCAGGAGGAGAAAGGAATGACAGAGGATGACATGGCTGGATGGCATCACCGACTCGATGGACATGAGTTTGGGTGAACTCTGGGAGTTGGTGATGGACAGGAAGGCCTGGTGTGCTGCGATTCGTGGGGTCGCAAAGAGTCAGACACGACTGAGCGACTAAACTGAACTGAATATTAACAAAATTACTTATTTACTTTATTCTATGATATTTATTATATAGTTTATAATATTATAATAAATTACAGTATTATAATAAAAGTCTACTGAGTAAAATTTAAAATTTCTTTGTGGTTCTTTTTGTCCACAGAATCTATGCTACAAAGGATATACAGTGTATTGAATTCTAAAGGAACTTTAGCTACCTCTTTCCCTGGTGATTATGTTAGCAATTTGATGTATAGTTGGGTTCACTTAATGTGTTTTCAACTTTGAAGTGAAGTCGCTCAGTTGTGTCCAACTCTTTGCGACCCCATGGACTGTAGCCTACCAGGATCCTCAGTCCATGGGATTTTCCAGGCAAGAATACTGGAGTGGGTTGCCATTTCCTTCTCCAGGGGATCTTCCCGACCTTTGCTTTTTCCTCTTTTTCATTTAATTTTATTTTTTGATAAGGTAAAAATATACATGTGACATAATGAAATGTTCACTGTTGAGAATCTAGAAGAGAAAGTAGTCCTTTAATGTCACCATGTGGAGGTTTATAGCAGAGTGATCTTCATCCAGGGTAGTTTTGAAGCCCTTATCCCTCTCTGACACGCCAAGGTCCTCTTGACCACCTGTCAGCCTCCAGGGGCCTCCAGTTGGCTGAACTGGCTGGAGGCCATCTCAGTTGTAAACAGCAACCTTCCCCTCACACTGCAGCTTAAGGATGACCTGTTGCTCTTCTTTAAAACTGTGCATGTTGCTCTTGAGCCAATATTTATCATCCCAGTAATGGGACCACCCCATGAGCTGGTCTGTCCCAAAACCAAACAAGGATACCTGGGAGATAGGGTAAGAGAGAAGAGGGCTCTGGGTTAGCAGGCTGGAGCCCACCCTGCCTCCACGCCCACTGACCATTCCTTCAGCAAACATTCACTTAACATGAGGGTGACAGGCTGTTTCCTGGAGCTGGGAGAAGAACAGAGCTCACCTTCCCCAGGGAAGACTCTGAATGCACAGAGCAACTCTCGGAGCCCAGGATAGAGAGCTGATTCTCATCATATTGAAGGAAGAGAGAGGATTCCTTGGGGAGACAAGGGGAAGGCACTGCAGGCAGGGGAACAGCATGTGAAAGGCCTGAGGCAGGCTGTTTGGGGAACCGAGAAGCCCATAGAGAGTGCTGGTAGAGATGATGGGAGTGAAAGGGTCAGACCATGCAGGATCTTGAAAACCAGCCAGACAACTTTGGACTTAACCTGAAGTCCCTGGGAAAACAGACGCTTTCAGTGGCAAAGGGATAAAGTTCTATGAATCGCAGACCATGTCTTACCTGGTCACAGGTGTGCAAGGCATACAACAGAGTTATGAACCCCAGAGATGGAAAGTGACCGTGTTTTCTCAGCCATCTCTGCTGGACGTACTGGAAGAAGTTCAGGCTGATCACTGAGACCTGGGGAGATGGAGGAGGTCCATTTCTGAATGGTCCATCCAGTGGCCGCCCAACCCGACCCACTGCGTTTTACTCCTTCCCCTTTTCCCTCCTGGGTCCCTCATCTTGTCTTTCTTCTCATTACTTCCACGGGGGACCTGGACTATCCGAAATCTAAAACAAGATTGAGGTGGGGGAATTTCAGCATCATTTGACATAGCTGTCCCCAAACTTAAGTAAACCTGTGGGGTGCCCTGATAGCTAGCAAGGGTCTCTCCAGAGTTCCCACTATCCTCCTTACAATGTCCTACCCTCCACCACCATACCCAGGATTTTCTGCCTTCTGAATGATGCTGTCTTTCTGCACTATGTCCATGACCCACTGTAGACCAGATGAATTCAGAGGAAGCAGCAGCAGCTGGGCACCAGGATCCTGAGGGCTGTCTATCTTGGGGTACATAACACGCACAGTGGTTTTTTTTCCCACGTCCGCCTCAAAGCCTTGGACAGGTGCCTGGTTTATCCTGGAAAGAAAAGCAGGATAGACGTTTTGGGGAGGAAGAGGATTTGTCGTGACCTTCCCGGTCTCCACCTTTCACTCTGCACTCACCTGAGGACCACATCATGTTGGTCAATCTTTAGGCCAAGGCCAGAGCCCGGTAGGAACTTTGAGTTTCCAACCACTGTACAAGTCCAGCACCCCACACGGTCCAGTGGGTGTGTGGAAGGCCCTTCAGGTGGCTGCTGATTCTGAGTCCCAAACTCCTCTGACTCCATGCCCTAAAGTTCATAGGAATGCAGGAGGGAGATATATAGGGGCTTTTCCCAGGCTCCCACCACCTATAGAAGAAGGTTAGAGCCTGGGGCCACGGAGGGAGAGATGGCCAGGGCCTGGGGTTGGGGTTGGGGACTGGACAGAGACCAAGAATGTGCACTGACCAACCACAATAGCAAAGCATCAGAGGACATGGGCACTTCTGACCTCATCAGGGGCTCAATGTCCATCTCAAAGCGTTCGTCAAACCAGACAGACTCTCCAGGAATGCCGAGGCAGGTGGAGCACTCATGGACCTCAGATTTACAGATACACTTTCTTAAAGAGTTCTGGGGGCAGTCGCAGGTCTTTGAGCGATTTCTGGGCATCTTACGAAGGTCATTCTGGTTAGACCTCTGGTCCAGAAGGAAGACCATCAGCCACAAGGTAAGCACACAGGTGGCTAGCAGATGCAGCTTCAGGTATTGAACCCTCATCTCTGGCCCAGACGCTGGTGCCCCAGCAGGCAGTAGATTGGCTCTGACACCACGTACTGGGAAGGAGGAAGGGCTGGGGTCATCAGACATCCCCAGCGTCCCTTGTCCTAGAAGCTTCCATTCCTCTCCAACCCTTCACACCATACACCCTCCCAACACCTTACCTCTCACCTCCTCAGCCACCTGCTAAGCACTGGAAGGAACTCTGCCAAGGCCTGGGCTAGAGGTTGAAAGGACAGGAGACATGTCAGTTGGTGAGTCTGGTGGTCTCCCAGGGAGATTGGTGTCCAGTGAGTTCTTTCACACCGGCCCAGTTTTATCTGGGGACCTCATCACAGAGAATGCATTGTGACCTCTGCACAGGCATCTTGACAAATGCTCCACCCCACCAACACACACTTTGGTGTTCAGCCCAGAGTCAGGCTGACAAAGGAGGTGTGGATTTAAGCTCCAGGGGACAGGAGGGTGAAGGAGCAGTGGCCATGTGCCAAGTCTGGTGTGGAGGAACAGGAGATCAGAAGGCAAAGAAGGGGCCATTTGGGACCGCTTGTGTGTGTTAGTCATTCAGTCGTGTCCAACTTTTTCTGAACCCATGGACCAGGCTCCTCTGTCCATGGGACTCTCCAGGCAAGAATACTATAGTAGGTAGCCATTCCCTTCTCCAAGGGGATCTTCCCAACCTGGGTCTCCTGCAATGCAGGCAGATTCTTTACTGTCTGAGCCACCGGGGAAGCCCTGGGACTTTTTTTGGTCAGAGAGAATTTACCATTTTGACAAAAGTGAATATTTGGTGTAGTCAACCCTTGAAATCTCTCAGGAATTGAATTTCTTTTTTTTTCCCCTTAAGATTGTTACCAAGATAAATATTTGAAAACTTTTCCCCCCAAAATCGCAAAATTCAGAAAGACTTTTAATGTGGAGCAGCAGCTTCCCAGCCTCCCTGACTCCTTACCCTGTGGCCCCTCCTCAGAGGACTCCTAACTATTCTTCGGGCATTTGCTTCCATATCTCTAAATAATATGCTTACACCACCATATCATGATATTACATGCAGACTACCCACTGTATATAATCATATCATTATGTTTAATAATAAACACCTGCTCACTTTGTGACTTTGCACATTGGACTCTCATCTCTATTTCTCATTCTGTCACTTCAAGACAAGATTTCTTTTTTTTTTAAGACAAGATTTCTTAAAGCCTTGTTCTCTGAGATGAGGATATTTTGTTTGTACACTTCTCTTTTTTAAGTACTTATTTATTTATTGTCCTGTACCAGGTCTTAGTTGTTCTCTTTTTTAAGTACTTATTTATTTATTGTCCTGTACCAGGTCTTAGTTGCAGTATGTGGGATCCAGTTTCCTAACCAAGGATTGAACCCAGGCTTCCTACATTGGGAGCGTAAAGTCTTAGTCACTGGACTACCAGGGAAGCCCCGTGTCTGTATACTTCTATTTGCCAATTTTTTTCTTTTTCTACTTCCCAACATTGGCATGTGAAAGTTTACATCATCAAGGATAACGTTCAGATTCTGTTGTGTAAGCAATCTGTTGTATCATTACTTTTCACATGCTTTGTTTATAGCAATGCCATCCAAAAGAAATATGCCAAGCCATGTGTATAATTTTCTAGTGGCTATAGTTTAATTAAAAATAAAATGAAGTGGAGGAAATAAATTTGAATAATATATTTAATACAGTATGTCTGTATATTATCATTTCAACATATTCTCAAAATATTAAAATTTTGCATTCTTTATTGATACTAAGTCTTCTAAATAAGAATTGTATTTTACACTCACAGTACTCACAGTATATCTAAATTTGAACACTCAGTTTTCATCAAAAATACATGATCTATAGATTTTTAAAAATTTTACAACCTGAAAAGTAGATCTACATAGTCCAGTTATAACAAGTATACATACTTAGAAGTGTTCCAAAAACTGAATTGCATTCATCTTAAATTTTAGATTGTTTAAAATTAATTTTTTGTTGTATGTTTTTCATGCCACATTTGGGATCTTTGTTCCCCAACCAGGGAATCAAACTCACAGCTCCTGTGGTGGAAGCATGGATTCTTAATCACTGGAAGGTCAGGGAAAGTCTCTAACTTAGAAATTCCCTGGTGGTCCAGCAGTTAAGGCCTCATGCTTCCACTGCAGGGGGCATGGGTTCGATCCCTGGTCAGGGAACTAAGATCTCACATGCTGTGTGCCACAGCCCCCCAAAATAATTAATTAAATTAAAATTTCAATTTCTCACACTAGATACGTTTTACTTGCTCTTCCACCATACTGAATGGCAGAGGATTATAGGCTGATTCTGAAAGTCGAATGTCTGTTATCAGTGTTTATAATATTGCAACTAGGTAAACATTGTTTCCTATATAATCTAGTAGTAAACTAGGACTACTTTCCTCTTATCATTCATTAAAATTCTCTAGGAAAAAAAGCTATGTAAGAAATGAAATTTCTAAATTTTTGAATGTCTAGAAAAGTCATTATACTGCCTATTGTGAGTAGCATTGTGTCCCCCTCTAAAAAACTAGCTTCAAGTCTGGACCTCTGGTACCAGTGAATGTGAGCTTGTTTGGAAATAGGGTCTTTGCAGGTTAAGGTGAGTTCATACTGGACTAGGAAGGGCCCTAATCCAATGACTGGTGTCCTTATTTTAAAAAAAAGGAAAATGTAGGAAGAGAAGACACAGGGGGAGAGTGCCATGTGAAGATGGAGGCAGAGAGTAGATTGCTGTGTCTGTCTATAAGACCAAAATGGTAAGAATTGCTAACAACCGCCAGAAGCTAGGAGAGAGGCATGGGACAGAGTCTCTCTCAGATCCCCCAAAGGAAATCAACCTGAAGTTTGGACTTCTAGCCTCCAGAACTGTAAGAGAATAAATTTCTGTTGTTGTAAGCTACCAGTTGTTGTTGCTTAGTCGCTAAGTCGTGTCTGACTTTTTAGCGACCCCATGGACTGTAACCTGGGCTTCTCAGGTGGCGCTAGTGGTAGAGAACCTGCTTGCCAATTCAGGAGATGTAAGAGACGTGGGTTTGATCCCTGGGTTGGGAAGATCCCCTGGAGGATGGCATAGCAACCCACTTCAGTATTCTTGCCTAGAGAATCCCATGGGCAGAGGAGCCTGGCAGGCTACAGTTCATAGGGTCACAAAGAGCTGGACACAACTGAAGCAACTTAACATGCATGCATGTTTCCACATTTTGGCTATCATGAATAATACTGCTATAGACATTTGGGTTCGAGTTTCTGTGTGGACATGTTTTCATTTCTTTTGGGAACCTACCTAAGAGTGGAATTGCTGGCTCACATGGTAATTCTATGTTTAACTTTCTGATGAACTTCCAGGTTATTTTCCATAGGAATGAGGCACTGAGCCATTGCCCATGGAACTCATTGACCTTATCACATACTAACCAAGTTCATGGAACTGCAGAAGAGCTACAAAGACTTAGTTTTGACTCCAGATATAGCAAATTAATGAAGAAGATAACCTAAAAACTTTCCTACAATAAAAATGCAGTCTGCTGGTCAAAACATAGTTTTAACTTTTTAAAATTATATTTATTATTGAATATATAATATGGGTCTTAGTCCATATGGTACATATGGGTCTTAGTCCTGTGGTACATAGTCCAAAAGGTATAAAAAGTAAGTAAAAAGAAGGATTCTGTCCCTTTCTTGCTCCTCTCCTACCCAGTCTCTTCCCCAGAGGCAATTACCACTAAAATGTCGTTTATCTTTCCTGAGTTAATTGGTAATTTTGCAAGCATATACATCTACATTGTTTAATAAAAAGTATTTTAAATGCAGACCAGAGGTTAAAAGAAAACAGGAAGTCCCTAGATGCCAGAAATGAAAAGAGAACTGAAAAAACAGTGTGGGGAATGCTTAAGATGCTTAAGGGGTTACCCAGAAACTTAGAAGTTTAATGCCCTTGAGGCAGAGGACCTTGATCCTAGGGAAGGCAGAGAATCAGAATGGAGGCCCCCACAAAACACTGGGAACCTCAAAGAGCTGAATCTTTGGTGAAAAGCTGGGCCCCCAAAAAATTCACCCACCAGCATAGGGTGATATAAGCAAGCTTATCTCTTTTGTCCAATGGGAAATGAACTTCTCTGGAGACTCAGTCTGGGCCTGCACTTGGTGTGGAGCTGGCTCTAAATTTACATCACCTGCACAGATCCAGGGGACCAGGCATAGAAATTAATGCAAATATTGTCCCTGAGCTATGAAAGTCAAGTCAGGCCCTTCCTCCCCAACACTGTCCTCGAAGGTAGGAGAATCAGGCCAGGATTTTATTCAGTACCAGACTGATCACTATACAATTTCCTCTTGACCTTTATCCCTGAACATCCCCAGAGTCCTGCTGCAACTCCAAGACTCCCCTGCATTCAGGCCCAAAGGACAAGGATTTGTTTGGACTTGTGTGAACGGCGAGCTTGTCCACTCTAGCTGACCTCCATTTCTGCTTCTTACTGAGCATGGACAGAATCTCTGTTGGTCTGATGAATATCCTCCCAGTAAGGGGACCACCTCCTTTGCTTTTCTGATCCAGATCCAAAGCGGGAATCCTAGTGGATGAGAGAGGGATGTATGCGTCAGCAGGCTGAATCCTGTCTTCATTCCACCACCCTTCATTCAGCATCAAGGGTGACCAGCTGCCTCCTGAAGCTAGACCAGAGCTCACCTTCCCCAGGGGAGACAGAGTCTGAGCACACGGTGTGACGCCAGACCCCAGACCCCAGAAAAGAGCATCATACGATCCTCTTTGTACTGGGGGAAGAGAAGGTTCTCTGGGGAGACAAGAGGAGGGCATTCCAGGCAGAGGGAGCAGCGTGTGAAAAGGCGATGGGGTCAGACCACACAGGGTCTTGGAAGCTGGGCAGAAACTTTTAGACTCTGTGCTGAAGGCATAGCTGGGAAAAGTTTTGTTTTGTTTTTTTAATTTTTTGGCCACACCACAAAGCATGTAGGATCTTAGTTCCCCAATTAGGGATCAAACCTGCATCCCCTGCATTGAAAGTGTGGAGTCTTAAGCACTGAACCACCAGCAAGGAAAAGTTTTAAGTGAAGAAAGGACAAGACTCTTTAACTGAATCACAGGTATGCAAGGTACAGAACAGAGCCATGAGCCCCAAGATGGAGAGTGACCCTCTAACTCAGCCTGTTGCCCCAGTTGTACTTGAGGAAGGTGGGGCTGATCACCAGGACTTGGAGAGGAAGAGATGGCGGCCAACCTGGGTCCCAGCCCACAGCAGCCCACAACTACATCTTCCCACCCGTCGAACCCTTACCTGGTCTTTTCTATCTTCCATTCTACTAGGGAACTGGACCGCCTTCAGAAATCTAAGGAAGAATTAGGAAGTGGAGGGGTTTCAGCAGCCCCTGAGACCTGGGACGGTCTGGCAGGGGTGCCCAGTAAGTCAGTAGGGCGTCTCCTTGGAGGCCCCTCTGTCATCTGCTGCAGTACCCTCCCCTTACCTGCCACACTAAGAATGTCTGGGTTCCCAGACCACCATCTCCTCACTCAGAGAATCTGAAGTCCATGAGAGATCAAAGAGCTGCAGGAGCAGCAGCAGCACCTGCCTCCAAGAACCCTGGCCCCTGGCATTCCTGTGGGAGACGGAGCATCTCGTGGTTTGGTTCCCCAGCAGCTCAATGCCCTGAACAGGGACCTGGTTCATCCTGAGAAAGAGAGTAGAAACTGAAAGAACTCTGGGGGCAGGTCTGGCCATCCACTCCCCTGCCCTCTACCCACCTGGAGACCATGCTGGGTTGGTTGACGTTGTTGCTGAGACTGGCAGTCCGCAGGATCTTCGAATTCCCCATCAGGGCACAAGTCCCACAGAAGAAATCAAAATGGCTCATTGAAGGTGGGGGAATCACCTTGAGCAGCTTCTTCCACACTCTGCCCAGCTCACTTGCTGCGTTCAGGTCCTGAAAACAGCAGGAGGGAGAAGATGGGGGGCCAAGACCCAGGTATTGGCTCCTGGAGGAAGGGAAGCAGATCTGAGTGGGTGGGACCTCCATCGGGAGATCGGGAGTTGAAGCTGTGAAGATGGGAGGCACTCTAAGTCAGGGCCGAGGGCAGGGATTTGGAACAGAAAGTGGGAGGTGACCTGGGCCCGGGGGAGGACGGGATGGGACGCCCCAGTGTTGACCACTGACCGGCCACCAGAGCACAGCACCAGGGCGCATGGACTCTGCTGCTCCCATCAGGGACCCCCTCATCTTCTCATAGACTGCATCAAACCAGCGCTCTCCAGCTGTGTGGTGGCAGACAGAGTGATTGAGACTCCCGGACGGGCAGCCACATTGCCTGAATTTGAAACAAGGGCAGCTGCAATGCCGTGGTGCCACGTCCATCCATTTTTCCTGGGGTGTTGAATCAGTCTTCAGATCCAGGCAGGGGTCCATCAGCCACAAGAGGAGTATCCAGAAGATGCACAAGACAAAAATCTGCCACCAGCACCTCATGTCTGGGCCAGGTGATGGCTCCAGTGGCAGGCGGCCAACTGGTTCCTCTACCTGGGACTGGGAGGGATGAGAAACTGAGGTCATAGACAGCCCCTCAACTCTCTGTCCTGTGGGCCTCTGTGGCTCCCAGACCTCCACACCACACCTCCTCCCAAGCTCTCATCTCCCACTTCTCTGTCCATTCGCTTACCCCCAAAGGGCCCTCCAACTGGGCCTGGGATGGAAGATGTGAGGGCAGAGAGGTAACATATGGTGTGTCCCCTATCCTTCCCACAGAAGGGAGGTTGAGCTCTCAGTAGGGTCCTCCCTGCCAAGGGGTATATTACAGATCTCATCACAAAGTACATATTGTGACCTCCCTCCTTTAGGCTCAAAGCCACCACCCTATCCTGTCTGTCACACTCAAGCTGCCTGCCCTGAGTGCAAGGTCCACATAGACAGGGACTGACATTTACATTAAAAAAAAAAAAAAAAAAATATATATATATATATATTGTTTTCGGCTGCCTCGGGTCTTAGCTTGTCACACGGAATCCTTTATTATGGTGTGTGGGCTTCTCTCTAGTTGTGGCACGTGGGCTCCAGAGCACACAGGTTCGATAGTTGCGGCAAGCAGGCTTATTGCTCCCATGGCGTGTGAGATCTCAATTTCCCAGCCAGGGATCAAATCCACGTCCCCTGCGCTAGCAGGTGGATCCTCAACCACTGGACTGTCAGGGAAGTCCCGTGATTACCTTTTTTACCTCTGAATCCCTAAGACTTAATCATTTAAGAAATATTTATGGGATACAGGAACAGAGTGGACAGGGGACCTTAAGTACTATTTATGGGTGACGGCCCCTCTCCAATTGCATAACTTCGGCTCAGACTTCGCTTCTGTTCTCTCGACCCCCAAACCCGTCAGTCTGTTGTACCTTGACGTAGTTGTCTCAGAGACCCGTCACCCCAGACAAGCCTGAGACCGAACTCATGTTGCTCCTTTTAAACCAAACCCTTCCCAAGACTTCTGTATCTCAGCAGGTGTTCCTCTTTTTACCTCTTGCTGAAGCCAGGAACCCATATGTTATCCTTGACTCCTCCCTCTCCCCTGATTTCCAAATCCACTTTTAATCCTTTTGTTTCTGTCTCCAAACCACTTTCCTCACTTCCAGTGCCACTCCCTTAATTCAGCCCTGGCCTGTGGAAGATGTTAAACAACAAAATGAAAAACAGAGTTGTTTTTAAGGTTTTTAATAGAGGGGGTGGGGTCAGAAATCATTTTATTTTTTTAAAAAATCAAAATGTTTTCTTCCATGGGGTGAGAACAGGAAAACAGTTGTCATAACTAGTGAAAATCTGCAGTGGGTATTTTATAGCTTTAAAAAATTCATCAGGGGATTTTGCTGGCAGTCCAGTGGTTCAGACGCCAAGATTCCACTGCAGGGTCTATGGGTTCGAAACTTGGTCGGAGAACTAGATCCTATATGCCGAGTACTGCAACCAAAAAAAAAAAAAATTCACCAAAAAATTTGAGTAAGGTCTGTAGAGTAATTGATGCTTTTGAACTGCAGTGTTGGAGAAGACTCTTGAGAGTCCCTTGGACTGAAAGAAGATTGAACCAGTCAATCCTAAAGGAAATCAGTCCTGAATATTCACTGGAAGGAATGATGCTGAAGCTGAAACTCCAATACTTTGGCCACCTGATGCAAAGAACTGACTCATTAGAAAAGACCCTGATGCTGGGGAAGATTGAAGGCAGGAGGAGAAGGGGACAACAGAGGATGAGATGGTTGGATGGCATCACCAACTTGATGGATATGAGTTTGAGCAAGCTCTGGGGTTTGGTGATAGACAGGGAAGCCTGAAGTGGTACAGTCCCTGGGGTCGCAAAGAGTTGGACACAACTGAGTGACTGAACTGACTGCAGACTAATTGTGTCAATGTCAATTCCCTGGTTTGTATAGTGTAAGATGATACCATCAAGAGAAACTGGGTGATGGGTACATGGGATCTCTTTTTACTATTTTTGTAATTTTTCAATTTTAATTTTAATTAAACTTTAAATTAAATTTTAATTTAATTAATTTTAATTTTAATTTCTATTTTTAAATAAAAAGGTTTTAAAAAATCATCTAGAAAAAGATGCATAGTAAGTTACATGAACTTACATAGTTACATAGTTACTTACATGAACTAACATAATATTTTTGTTGTACAACACTCAAAAACTTACCATTTAAACCATTTTAAAGTGTACAATAAATCAATGACATTTAGGACATTCACACCATAATGCAGCCATCACCACTACCTAACTCCAGAACATACTCATCATCCCAAATGGAAACCCCATACCTATTAAGCAGTCATTCCCCATTCCCTTCTTATCCAGCCTTAGCAAAATATAACCTTTTAAAAACATCCTGAAACATTAGCTTTCGTTTTGCGTTTTAGCAATTTTATCAAGGCACAATTCACATGCCATAAAATTCACACATTTTAAGCGTATGATTCAATAAATGTATACAGCTGTATAAGCATCACCACAGCCCAGTTTTAGGACATTTCCATCAGAGATCCCCATTTGCATCTGCAGTCAATGCCACTCCTCATTCCAGGTAACCACTAACCCACTTTCTCTAAAGATTTGCCTTGTTTATAAATGGAATCATACAATATGCAGTTTCTCATATCTGATTTCTTTTCCTCAGCATAATATTTTTTAAAATGTATATTGTATCATGCATCAGGAGTTAACTCCTGCTGTTGAGTAGTATTCCACTGTGTGGATAGATCACATTGTGTTTATCCACTCACCAGCTGATGGACATCTGAATTGTTTCCACTTTTTGGCTATTATCAATAATGCTCCTATGAACATTTGTTTATAAGTTTTTGCAGGAACATACATTTTCATTTCTCTTGGGTAGACAGCTAGGAATTGTATATTTAAGAAAAATCTTTCAAAGTATTTTCCAAAGTGGCAGCACCATTTTACACTTATCACCAACAATGTATGAAGGTTGTAATTTTTCCACATTCTCAATGACATTTGGTTTTGTCTGTCTTTTTGATTTATGGCTATTCTAGTGAGCAGGAGATGGTATCTCATTATGGTCTTAGTTTGCATTTTCCTAATGACGCATAGCATCTTTTCATGCACTTATTAGATAGCCATTCATATGTCTTCTTTAGAGAATATTTATTCAAATCTTCCGCCCATTTTTAAATTAAGCTGTCATCTTACTATTTTTAAGAGTTCCTTATGTATTCTGGATATAAGTCCATTATCATACCTGGTTTGCAAACTTTTCCCTTAGTGTCTTTTGAAATGCAAAAACTTTAGTCATGGTGGAGTCCAATTTATTTTATGGATCATGACTTTGTATCATGGATTTGCCTAACCCAGGATCATGAAGGGCTAGGGGTAACCATGGTTCAATGTAGTTTAATGGTCCAGTCACTGATTTGTTGTAAGTTATACTTAAACATCTTGAGCTAATGAAGCTTCTGCCCTTTACCAATGGATCTCCATGTGGTTTGGAGAACACACTGACAATTCAGGCAGTTTACAAATTCATCCCCTTTAACTTTCTGCATGCTCCGGACCTCACATTCAGCCAAGGATGACAGGATACCTAGAACCCTCTCCAGTCTCTCCTGAGCATGTGTATAGGCTTGTACAAGTAGGCAGCCTTCCAGACCACCAGGGATGTGTGAAACCTTATTAAGACCCACAGTAACTATCTTCTTTCCAGATCTGTTAAATTTCTGGCTGGCTTACCGGTCTGTCGCTTGTCCCAACCAGTATCATGACCTCAGGATTGCTGCACTGTTGATTTTCCTTGATTGTTTGCCACTAGATTGCTATTATTTTCAACAACATCCATGGGCAAGAATTTTCCAAACTCTGCTCCAAATCAAATCAGTGACTTCCAAAAGCAAAGCTCCTAGTGCTCACAGGCATCCCCACTCTTGCAGGACTGCCACCACAAAGCTGGAGTGGGGAAGGTGGGAACAGCTGCTGTCTAAAATGCACCATGAAACTCATTGATTTTACTGAGGTTTGATAGTTTCTCTAGAATAAATGCATCTCCATTTGATGTATCCCTTTGGTCAATTTCCAGAGTCCTAAGGTGATTGTTCTGACAATTTTATACAGTTTCATTGCTTTAAAAAAATTTATCTATTCATTTATTTGGATGTGCCTGGTCTTAGTTGTAGCACATGGGATCTTTGAACCTTGTTGCACTTCGTTGAACTTCCTCTGACCAGGGATTGAACCCAGGCCCCGTGAATTGGGAGCCCAGAGTCTTAGCCACTGGACCATCAGGAAAGTCTCAAATATACTTAGTTCTTTTTAAAATAATTTTATTAATATTTATTCAGTTTTTGCTGTGCTGGGTCTTTGCTGCTGCTCAGGTTTTCTCTAACTGTGGCGAGAGGGGCTATTCTGTAGCTGTGGTGCACAGGCTTCTCATTGCTGTGTCTTCCACTGTGGAGCATGAGCTCCAGAGTGCGTGGGCTTCAGTAGTTGTGGCACGTGGGCTCATTAGTTGTGGTTCCTGGGCTCTAGAGCACAGGCTCAGTAGTTGTGATGCATGGGCTTAGGTACTCTGCAGCATGTGGGATCTTCCCAGCCCAGGGATCGAACCCAAGTCTGTTGCATCTGCAGGCAGTTTCTTCACCGCTGAACTACCAGGGAAACCCTCAAATATACTTATTTCTTTGATGATTTAAGGAAAAGTTCACTTATCAGTGTCTCATGTAAGGTGAAAGAAGGCTGTGACTGGGCAGAATGAACCAATGAAAGGGCCTGAACCCTTCCCCTTCTCTGGTCAGGCTTAGGCTGCATCTACATGTGACCAGTGACCCCCTCTTCCTGCAATCCAGTGTGCAGAGTGAGGCACTCCTGTACAGGATCCAACTGCTCCCATGGCCAAAGGACCTCACCTCAATGGGGAGGACTGGAAGCATTAGGGGGAAGCCTGACATTGTGAAGAGCAAAGTTTCCAACTGGT